GGGGGGGGGGGACAGCATTTTTAGTCAGAACAGCTATCAAATCCAAAAATTAGCAAAGAAAACCTTTGCTGACGATATAAGCAATCTCCACAGCTATTTCAAACACGAAGGGCCCTAATAAACTACACTCACGTGACCTTTGAGCCTATAGTTAAAACCTTCACCAAGTATATAAAGCAATCTCCACAAATATTTCCAGGGACAAGTATTAACTATTAGGCATAGCTTTTAGCATATAGTCCCCAACTTAACAAGGTGTAAAATCCTCCCCCACAAGCTAACTACATTGTAGATATTCGAATCGCTCTATAATCTTTGGGAGAGTGTGCTTAAGCAATTGTAAAGATATGACATGAGACAACCAGATTATTCACTTTTAGTTTTATGCCACGGATAGGTGGGAACGCCGGGAAGCTATTTCTTGCTGAGGAGATTTAACGGAAAGGTTCAAAGAGAGAAGATAACACTCATGTGATTTTTATAACTTAAGAAATGCAATACCCACCAAATATTTTGGTTGGTATTAGGAAAAAATCAAAAAATAAAAAGAATAGAAAAAGATTTTTCAAAAAAAAAGAGCCCAATGGAAATATTGTGATGTAGGATATATCACTAAGAAACACTCTCCTAAAAGCTCTAATATCAGAATCACACTAATAATTGGTCAAAAAGGTGAGATTTTTAATTTGCAAAGGTGTGAGGGGTTTGTATTTAATACTATAAACAGTTAACAAAAGATAAGGTTTCAAGGCTGTAAGCCAGACCAAGAAAAATCATGAGGGATCGTTTCTGATTTCATAAGAGCTCAGGTTAGGTGATTGAAAGAAGGGCCAGCTGGCCCCTGCCTATAGGGTCTTTCAGAGGTGGAAAACTGGTTAACAGGGTGTAATCTTGAGGTGTTTGAAACAGCCAAATAAAAGTAAAGAATAAAGAGATGACAAGAGAACCGAGAAACTGCTAAAATATCTTCAAGGATTGGCATTACTCCTAGGGTTATAGTTGCAGCACATGGTTGTTAATTATCAAAGGACTTAAGTCCATGCATAAGATTTGGCAACTTTAAATAATAGACGTAAACTTACTAGATTAACATATACAACAACCCAAGAATGCATCCACACCAAAAGATAATAATAGAGAGTTGATCAGTGGCATACTAACCTAGAATGTAATACAATTAAAGTCTCAATCTATAACTTGATTATGCAAGGTCCCAAGTAAATACATCCCCGAAATCAGACCAACTGAGAATAGCCTTGCTGAGAAACTGAAAAAAAATTCTTTTCTTAGGTAAGAAAATCAAAAGCCAAAAAGGGGAACAACCAATGAACACATGGGGCAAAACAAAATACACAAAATCAGCGGGTCAAGAGAAAAACTACCCAAAAATTCTACAGGTATCAATGCTTCTAGTCCTACAAAACAACACATTAAGCCAAAAATTAGAGAAATTGGAATTAATGACTTTAATTTTCAGACTGGCAGCTCAATCCCTTGAAATGATCTGCATTTTTAATCAGAACAGCTATCAAATCCAAAAATTAGCAAAGAAAACCTTCGCTGACGATATAAGCAATCTCCACAGCTATTTCAAACACGAAGGGCCCTAATAAACTACACAAAATCAGCGGGTCAAGATAAAAACTACCCAAAAATTCTACAGGTATCAATGCTTCTAGTCCTACAAAACAACACATTAAGCCAAAAATTAGAGAAATTGGAATCAAGGACTTTAATTTTCGGTCTGGCAGCTCAATCCCTTGAAATGATCTGCTGCTATTTCTCTGCTTCCATACCAACCACAGCAAGCAACGAGGGGCTGTATTCCAGAGTTTCTTAATCTTTTTCCTACTCACTGTCCCTTCCAGCAGCCAACTATAGCCTCCACCCAACTGCAGCATAAACACACTACATCCCAAAAAGAGCAAAAGACAAATCCACAACTTTCTTGCAACCTCATAGACTGCAAGTAAGTGATTTTCTTCCTTCTACACATTTACAGATACACCACAAGTAAACATAATTTGCTTCTTCCATCTTAGTTTTCCATAGTCATCTTAACATCTTACAACACTGGCCAAACAAAGAAAGACACTCTTCTAAAGGCCACACTTATGACACATCAACCAAAGCTTCCTAATCCTTTCCCTCACTCTGCAAATTTTTAGTGCCCAATTAAAGCCTCCACCAACCACGACAAAACCCACTATATCCCAAGAGAGCAAATAACTGCCTTACAACCTCAGAGTGCAAAAGTAAGTGATTTTCTGTCTCCTCTACCCAGTTACACGTACAGGACCAATTTATGATATATTGCTACCTCCGTCTCTAATTGTCAATTGTCAATAGTCAAGACGGCCCTACTCGTGTGTACTATCACACATGTATTCTGCACAATCACATGTGCTTCAAGAATGGTTCAACTGTGAGTAAGAATCATACTCAAGAGCTTTTGTTCACTTCATCATAATCAAAGTCAATTACATTACACGAGCTCTATCTCGCAGATTTCATACTTAACGCAGGGAAGCTCAATTTATACATGCATAGGTAATAAAGACAACTAAAAACACAGCAACACAGCTATTTACAATACCCAATCTGGAAGCTCCACATTTTGATCACTCCACTAATATGAGATTTCAAATAAAGTTCCAACTACCGTCGTGCACTATATAATGGACAATCCACTACCAAATCTAGAAGCTCTTTAATCTAGGATTTTGAAGATTTTCTGCACTTCTAAGACAACATAACTAAACCCTAAGAAGGCACCTAACTATATTGCACCGGAGGAGGTAATTGGGGGCATGGTCCCTAAAAGCCCCCTCCCCTCCCCCCCTCTTCCCACCCCTATTAGGACTTGGATATTTTTTCAAAGCTGGCAAATATTTCAATGAGAAGGTTTTACTCAAGAACAACCATTTAGTTTATCCCTATCAAGGGGTGCGTACAAATAATCCAAACACAATTTGTTCTTAATAATTTGTTTATGCAGAGGAAAGTGAGATCAAGTGATATTTTTGGTCACCCAAACTCAAGCAGAGAAGACTAGATTCTATGCGAGATCCGGGCTTAAGCTTGAGCATTCTTTCTTCAACCACTCCGAGCTTGAGCACAATAATACTTTGGCCGTTCACCACAAACAGTTGGAAGTAAACTTTAATATTCTAAATGCAAAAGGTGCTAATGATATAACTACTTAAGAAAAAATGACTGGAAAAAAAATGCTCAGAGCTTACACAAAAAAGAAATACTAGGGATACCTTATCCTCCCTCCGCTTTCGCTCCTCTTTTGCTTTCTCTTTCAGTCCTGCTATATATTTCTCAAAAATCTCCCTAAAGAAGTTCTCTTCTGCAACAAACCTGCTCAAAGGTCACGCCATAACATTACATTCAACATGCAACACAAGAAATTGCCCATCAAAATAATTATGGATAGTGTGTAGGAGACTGGGAGTCAAAAACATAGAAGCAATAATCTGAAAATAATTTATATACACCGTCAAATTAGTTCTTTTCTGTAAATTTCTTGCCAAAGTTATGACTATCACGCTATGGCAGGAATATGAACTGTCACTAACCGAACCTAGCAACTTGCCAAAAATCAAAACACAGGCACGACTATTTATGTGTTTATTTATTCAAAATAATCGAATTATATATGCATGCTACAGTTCATATGTGGCATCTATGTTTTTCCAATATCACATAAAATGGGAACCAGTTTCACTTATAAACCAATAAGGGAAGCAACATAACAAGGTCCACAGGCATTAGTAACTTGCCAAAAATATGAACTGTCACTTACCGAACCTAGCAACTTGCCAAAAATCAAAACACAGGCACGACTATTTATGTGTTTGTTTATTCAAAATAATCGAAGTATATATGCATGCTATAGTTCATATGTGGCATCTATGTTTTTCCAATATCACATAAAATGGGAACCAGTTTCACTTATAAACCAATAAGGGAAGCAACATAACAAGGTCCACAGGCATTAGTAACTTGCCAAAAATATGAACTGTCACTTACCGAACCTAGCAACTTGCCAAAAATCAAAACACAGGCACGACTATTTATGTGTTTGTTTATTCAAAATAATCGAAGTATATATGCATGCTATAGTTCATATGTGGCATCTATGTTTTTCCAATATCACATAAAATGGGAACCAGTTTCACTTATAAACCAATAAGGGAAGCAACATAACAAGGTCCACAGGCATTAGTACATCATGAATCATAGATACGTGGGAAAGAAATGACTCTGTTGTGACTTCTGAATAACCGCACCCAAATAGAAATCCTTCCAGCGAGTACGGGGAACATGAGTTGTCAAACAAGTGAGCATTTCTTTAAGTTTCATAGTATCCATTTATTAATGTGTTGGCACATCAACAACTGAAAGGCAAAACTTTTTAGCACCACGTTTTTCTGTCACCCACACGCCACAAAATGATCAACAACATTTATTTTCCATAAAGAACAAAAACAAAGTAAAGAATAATATAGATCACATTGTATAAATATGTAGTAAGACTATGAAATTTACAACTAGAAAAACAAGTACCAGCTCTCCTGTCTATCTTCAAAGAATGCTTTGCAGTTCTCCCATGTCGAAGACGCTGTTATTTCCTGCAATAAAACAAATATTTAAATAGGGGAAAAAGAGCAAAATCCCCCTATTACCCAACCATAAAAAATGACAACATCCCTACAGTTCAACTTGCTACACCTTAGAGGTACATAAACGTTCATAGAAGTCATCTGCACGGCGTTTACGCTTCTTAGCCTCCTTCTCCTCCTTCTCCCTCACTCTTTCGTGTAACTCATCGAATACAATCTGTGAATGGGAAAACCAAAAAACCAAAGTTTTCAGATCCAAAAAGAAAAATGGGAGGCAGAGGCAGAAAGGCTCAATCAACAATCCATGTCATTGATTAAAAACAAGTTTCTACCAGCATTAGTCATTTCGTGTCATTTGGTCAATATTTTCCAAATGGGGTAATGGTGGTTGAAGATGCACTGGACAAGCCTAACATGGGGTAATGGTGGTTGACGAAGAATTTTCCAAATGTTCACTATAAACTTCCTTACTTGTCTTGTCATCAGTAAAACCTTTCATTCCTGAATGTATCCCTATTTTGTTTAACATAAAGGTGCTCCCCAGTTCCAAAGGCCAATGTCTTCCCTTATGCACTAGCTCTCATAAGGGTTCTTAACAATGACATGCTTCAAATATTAAGCTCAGAGATTGCCCAACTTTTTGGAAAGCAACTGATGGATTGTTGAACCAAATTTTCATATACTATTTTATTTACTTTTCCTGTTGAAAAATACTATTTGGAATGGTAAAATTGAGATGGGCAGCTGTCCAGTCAGCGAATAAGAAAATAGATCACCAGGTTGTCATTGTAGTAGTGATATGGATGATATTAGGTGGCCTAGTGCACAAGGCCCCAGCCACTATGGAGTTTGGAGAGGGTTAGATGTACGCAGTCATACTTCCGCATGTGAAGAGGTTGTTTCCGCCACAAACCCTTGACGCCCAAGTCAGAATGAAGCAACCTTACCATTATGTCAATGCCCACCCTTTGATATGGATGATACTAACAAAGGAAAAATGCTCACTACTTTAGGAAAAAATATAGGGCTTAAATTTAATGCAAGAAAAATTGGGTATTTGGTTATTTTATGGATAGCAGTTACTTCAGAGATCAAAAGTGCATATTTACAACGAAAGTCGAAAAACTGAAATTTATGCACCTTTTGTTAATAGAATTAGTAGTTTTCAAACATGAAAAATAAGAAATAGGCTCTCAAACATTGACACTCAAATTAACCATCAGTTTAAGTGTTGTCATTTATTTCTATCCTCCAAACTTCTTTACGACTAGATAGCATATCATTAACCCAGAAAGGTAGGGAAGCTCATTGAAAGAAAAAAGTGCTTTGCGGCAAGCAGTTATTAGCTTTAGCTTTCTCCCCTCTTCTTGACCTTTAGTCCACTTTGTTCTCTCAGTATGTCAACTGGTAAAAATAGAACAGTTCCAGCTGGTTGCCCCTACTCCCATAAAGTTGGAAAATAGGTCATTGATAGTTTTGATTAAATAAAAAAAATATTTCCCTTCATTTTGAGTCAAGCTCAATCAACTCATCCTATATAGGCCAAGTAGTTCGGGTGTCGGTACTCGGGCACACTTCGAATAATTCACTCTTTCTTTTAGCTTTGGTCACTGAATTTATGAATAGAGGATAAACCTTAAGCCGCATGGATAATTTTTTGTTCTGTAGGGCATGATGTTGATCCAGCTTCTACGATTACAGTATCCGCATTGTTCTGAATATGTTCATTGGAGCTCTTCGCTCGATGTCCCGGGTCATTCTGTTGTAAATCATTATTTAGTCGAGCAATGGCTTATTTCTAAACAACCCCTTACTAAATCAAACAAATAAAGATTCATTGAGTGAATCAACTTGTCCCTCCCAAACAGAGATAGCCAGGTTCTTAAAACTCCGATCGTGGACAGCTATATCACACCCACCAATTCCATTGCATTGCCACCAGCCCTATCTATAGTTTCTTTTCACAAATGGGCAATCGGTCTAACATAACTATCTCTAGCTAGCAGCTATCGCCTAGCTAGCCACCAAGGAAGGAAATCTAGATTTTAATGGTAATTCATCCAAGTCGAGGCTAGGTCTTACTCATACTCAGTAGAACCCTAGCTCTATATTTCATATCTGAATATGGTCACTAGTATAGATGATGACCTGTTTTCCTCCCTAATCACACTTAAAGGCACCTTTGTCCTCTATTGTACATTAGGATTATTAGGGTTGTGTCCGTTACACCATGGACTAACATCTTAATCAGAGTCAAATTCTTCATCTTGCAAACCATAACTGAACATATCTGCAAAGGTACTCTATTTATTAAGGATCCATTTTTGAAAAATTCCCCCTTAAGGAGGAGGGTTAAACCTTGCATCAACATTGGAACATAAAGTGGATTGTTATGGAACGGAGATCAAACTATGCCAATGAGGTCGTGGTATGGAAATGTGACTGTTTTATTCGGTATACCAAAGTTTTCTGCAGTCTATGATGGGCATCCGGTATAATTATCCCAGGTGGCCGAAAAATTTGAATCACCACAGAACAACTGATTCCTTTCGAAAACGTTTGTTAGATAAAAGACTACAAGACTCTTCTTCGGTTCCTTAATAAATAGAATATGATCAGCTTCAGTTTTGCAAGGTGAAGAATTTGACTCCAAGTAAGATAATTGTCCATGGTTTAATAGACACTCCAAGTAAGCTTTAGTTGGTTGATCATTATTTGTCTCATCAATGAAAAGCATAACATGAAGTGGACAATATGTTCACTGAAATTCAAGCAATGGACCGAACAAGCACAATGATGTGGCATACCACTGTTGGAAAAAAAGCACCAAAGCTGCATAAGCAAAAGCAAAGTGCTTTCAACACACAGTCAATTGCAACCACCTTCCCCAGTAGGACTCGGTGTGTATGCAAATAAACCCACACCCAAACCTCTTACAGTATGCAAGGAGATTTAATCCTCAACGAGTAAAAAATATCAACTAAAAACAATAACATGATGCAAGCACATTCGGTCTCTACAAAAAAAATAGTCCAAAACGTACATGATTTGGCCTTTAATTATGTTACATGCACGATTTTGGAGGATTTAAAAAATAAAAGAAAAATAGGATAGGGGAGAAAGAGACCCACTTCGAGGGGGGTGAAAGCCTCCGTTGGTTCACTTCGTGGGAAACCTATCCCCTAAGCCTTTCACAAGAAAGTTTATCACAAATATTCACTATATTTTTTATTCATCTAGCATCTTTAAATACAAAGAAATAACACTTAAAAGATAGCTACTAAATCTATTGACCCCACTATCTAGATAACTACCTAAAAACCCTATTAAAACTATACTACTAACTCATTCCTTACCTAAACTCCTAGAAATTAGTTAACAAAATATTCAGATAAATACTAAAATTAAAAGCACATAACAATCATTCTCCCTTAAAAAACTTTATCCCCAAAGTTTTTATTGATCACGTAAAATAAGGAGGCGGCCAACCCACCTTTATGTCTTCATAACAGTCAATTTGATATTTGGCTTCATGGACTTCAAAAAGACCCACGACAATGATCCAAAGGGTTGGATTTATATGAGCAGCTTGAACATGTTCCATCAATTGCTTGTCCTTGTAATAGGCAAGCCTATACACAAATTGGAGTCAGTTGGTTGCAAGCTTGACTCCATGGGCCCCCCAAAATTTAGCCTTTTGTGAAAAGAGGAACTTTTGGTTAGTTAGACCAGAGGTAATGTGAACCTTTAATTCTCTTGTAGTTGAGTTCTTCAACTGCTCATCAGCAAAACATTTAATTTTATGCATTTAATTTTATGATCACTTGATGAATAATCAGTTGATGCATTTTGTTTCCCAAAAAGTACCTACTTACAATCTTGGTAATGAAAGTAGGGATCACATTGATTGGCATCTGAACTTTCCTCCTGAAGAATTTTCTTGAGTTTGTTAAAATCTTCTTGCATGCGTCGATTTTCCTCGATCAACTTGTTGAATGTTTTTCAGAATTCGTCATGCATCAATTTCAAAATTTCTAATGGAGTAGCCATTAGTAGTATCACATCGCTCTAATACCAAATGTTACATGCACGATTTCAAGAGATTTAAAACATAAAATAAAAATAAAAAAGGGGAGAAAGAGACCCGTTTTGAGGGGGTGAAAACCTCTGCTAGTTCACTTCGAGGGAACCTCACCTCCCAAGCCTTTCACAAGAAAGTTTATCCAAAATATTCACTATATTCTTCATTCATCTAACGTCTTTAAATACAAAGAAATAACATCTAAAACATAGCTACTAAATCTATTGACCCCACTATCTAGATAAACTACATAACAACCCTATTAAAACTCTACCACTAACCCATTCCCAACAAACTCCTAGAAATTAGCTCACAAAATATTCAGAAAAATACTAAAATTAGCATATAACAAATTCATATAAATTTGAATTTCAACAATTGCTTCTAGCTCCAAATTCATAAACAAAATATCATAGCACAACATTACACTGATGTTACACAGATGTGCGTCACGTTGGTACGTGGTAAGGATAGAAGTACATGATACAATATTTTCTCACATATACAGTGTGATGGGGATGCAAGTACACTATTTTAGGTAGTGATTCGCACAGAATCTCTTTTTCAGATGAATATTACTATCATGAAAGGCACGACCTAGTGCACAAAGTTCATGCCACTACGAGATATGGTAAGAGTTAGATATACACAGTCTTACCCTCGTATGCATACATATTTGTTTTAATATTTATTTTACATATATGACGGAAGTTCCAAAGCGAATCGATGCGGGGTCATTGCACCTTGGTCGTCAATCATCTAGGTTTGAGAGATTTTTAATAAGTCTACTTCAAACAAATCATACCAAAAAGAGTACAAATGAACAATAGTTTCAACCGTATCATGGAAATCATATTCCATTATTGAGCTATGAAAGGCACAATTCAATGACGAGGTGAACGACAAGCCATAAAAAATGTCACCTTATCAAGAATCTTTTTGTATGAGTTTCAACAAATTTCAAAGGTAACACTAACAAGTTTTCATGGAATGTACCTCCAGCTATAAATGTTTGAAACAATTAAAACCAACTTCTTTGTGTAAAAGAGATGAAACACAATAAATACTAACCACATTTGAGAAACGAGAATAATAATTAGGAATTTGGGTCGTCTATAAGACTATAACACCTTGGTTGAAAGTGTGTGCCATCTTGCTGGTAAAGACCACAGATGGTTGTGCCAAACAACTAAAATTCTGTCTCTAACTTGATGGAGGGAAGCGATAGGGAGAATACACCCTTTGCTAAAGCCATTGTTGATTTCCATTGTCTTCCCTTCCTTCCCCAACCCACCATGCAACAACACACACCACAGTACACTAAATATAAACCACTAGCGCAAGAGAAGAAAAAAACAGAATAACACATCTTTTGGGAGAAGTACCATATGGACACCTAGAATGAATTTAAGTGTAAAGAATTACAATTAACTACAATAAACTATGCCACAAACTAACAATACACATGAACTATGCAGTTACGTAAAAGGAATCAAGCTTTCCAATTTCAAAGACACATCGTGCTAAAAAAGGACCACCTCAAAAGCAATAGGAATTGTTGAGCCAAAAATAAAAGATCAATTCCAGAGCAAACAAATATTGTCAAAAAAAAGAATAGCTCAAAAGAGAAAAACCATACCTTTAAGTTGATATTTGAAACGTGAGGTGAGCTACTGTCCTCTAAAATAGCATCCTTGAAGTCTTCAAGTGTCCAAGTTGACGACAGGTTAATCTGAAATCAAACCAACGTCAAATATCAATGTAAACTAAAACGTACCAAATCTCCAAATTGCTGAACTTATCTTTTTTCTTGTTGATAACACAAAATGGCAAGGTTATACCTTTCTCGACTTCACTGCATCTTTTATGCAATCCTTGTCCTCAATATACTGCAATGTTTCATGCAAGTACAAGTAAAATTGTGCATAGAACAATTAACAATCGTAGGAGATAAAAGATAGTACACATAACATATTTGCAAATAGCATTTCCTTTTAAATGATGAGCATAGAAAGAAAATAAAAATAAAAGATCTGTCACTGCATTCAATTCCAAAAATTCTCTTTTTCGTCTCTGTCAAGAGCGCCCACCCCCTGAGGGGTCTTCCATCAAAAATTGATATACTATACTTAGAAGAAAGTTTTTCTCTTTTTAAAAAAAAAAGGAAACAAACAACAAAAAAACGAAATGAAGAATAGGAAAAATGAAAGAATACACTTGAAACCTCAATAAATTACAACTAGTTCTTCAATAAGAGCCCTTCAATATTGCTATTCCTCTCTTGAAACCACTCTTGAACCCATTCTTTGATTATTAAGAATTTCATTCGAAGGCGCCAAAGAGGGGGCACAGCTGATGTACATATGATACGTGCAAAAGGAACATTCAAAATACATATACAAACTAATCTAGTCGCAAAAAAAGGATCCAAAAATCAAAAGAAATAACCCTGGGTACTCCTCATTAAGCGGGAAAAAAATTTAAATATTACGCCAACATTGTAAATAAAGTTATGAACAAGAAGCACCAAACCCTCAAAAGATCTTCTATTCCTCTCCTTCCAAATGGACCAGCTTCTTCAGTCACCAATGTGCCTCAACACATTCACTCGCCACAACAGCAACATCCAAGATCTGTCTACACCCTATAGAAGGCATTATACTGTGGCCTATATGTCCTTTCACTAACACTCAACAGCCTAAGAAAAATTGGTGTCCAGAAATTAAATCAGCATTTTCCATGGTTCCCATAACTAAGTTAAATCCATCCACTAACGCGCTTTCAATTTCAGGCTGTGCTATTCTTAGAATCACTGTGCTTTAGTACATCATATGGCTTTACACAAAGCAGACTGGAGAAGACCAACTAATATAGCTGACTGTTGACTTCCTTGTTAGGATTGATACTTGTTTAGGTAAATTCAGTAAATAATGTAAATTAGGATATAGCTACCTGCTTTACTAGCTCCTCCAGGACATCTTCGAACAGATCTTTTGCTGTTGAACCTGAAGTGTTTGATGAGACTGCCAGATATGCAGGTAAATCTTGAACCTGAAAGCCAAACTTGAGTCAAGCACATAAAACAAAGGAAATTGATGTTTTAATGTTACAGAAAGATAGTGAAGTTAGATATGATAATTCTGCAACAAAAACTCAACTAACCTTCATGCAATAATCACGCCAGTGGGTTTTGGCTGTAAGTGTGCCAGCAGCAACATGCCCTTCCATCAATTTACGGAACTCATCACGATTTTTCCGCTCCGCTTTTCTCAATTCCTCCTATTTCCATAAGAAAGATGATAAGAAAGAGCCTTGAACAGTAAGCACTAATCGCTGTCATAAAACGTGAATCATTAAATTACCATCCGTAATTTCCTATGCTCCTCCTCTTCCTTCTCTAAATCACGTACATATTCCTGAGGCATGTCAAAATTAGCTGGTCTGAAAATCTAAAATTCCAGTACTCAGCTGCTTTAAAATTGTGTAAAAAAAATATGGAATGTCACCTGGAAAATTTCCAATCGGTCAACTTTTTCAAGGCAGAAGCATCTTTCATCGGCCTCCAAGTGGTCTTGAACTTTTCGCCACTGGCTGCTTGCCTACAAAATACAAGATAAGAAGTAAAATATAGGTCTGCAAAAACATAGTATCCCACTAGAGGATTTACCTTAATGAAGTCACAAGATTTCAAAAATTCGATGTATTCAGTTTTTTTTCGCTTGTGCTCCTCCAATGCCTTTGCCCGTTCCTACACAAAATCGCAATACATAGTAACATACTATTAAGTAATGATTCTTCAAACCATAATTCAATACCTTGACACACGTCAGACATACCAAGGATACATTTAAAGTGTGAATTGGAATGGCCATAGTATTAACTTTTACATCCAAAAAAAAGGAAGAAAATAAGAGCTTGATGTACATTGTTCGCCCAATTTTTACCTATAGGTATAAGATAGATTTAAGGGTTAGAGTGCCAATTCCACCAAAAGCTTAAGCTTTAGAGAATGGGTCCAACAATGTAGATCAAGCTCTTACACCCTCCATCATGTGCAACCCACTCCCAAATGTGAAAAAGTAGGCAGGAAGACAAAAAAGAGAGCATCTCGTGCCACATATAAAAGATGAGGCCCAAAATGCAAGTTCTTAGCATGTTTATTAGGGGATTTTTCATTCACAAAAATTTATAGATAGGAAAGCATGTTGAAAACTTTAATACCACCCGCGTGCAACATCTGAATCTTGAATGTAATACGTTTTCTATGCCATGAAAATAATCATTCTATATTAATAAAAGATGTGAGAATAATAAAGAATCAAGAACACAAACAAATTGTTTACTTTTTAAAGTTAATCACTTATATTCATTAAAGATGGTGATGAATGGGGAAAACAAAACAAAAATCATATGCAGGAGCATCATTCGTGTTGGTCAAAAATTGGATATCCAGGGTATGCCAGCTTACACCAATATTTGTCATTTATTAGACCACATTTCAACCCTACTTAAAATAAATGCTTCAAGAAGAAGCAGGCAAAGATAATGGAGCTTTCAGGTGTCTGCCCAAAAATTAGAGTCACAACATTATTTCATTCAAGACTACATTAGTAACGTTGACCTTTTTGATTTCTGAGTGTTCAAGCATAGGAAGTATTGATCAGAAAAGAAGAAAAAGGGAGGCAAGGATAGATGGGAGACTGATATATATATAATATGATCGTATTCACAGAAGTTATGTCAAAGAACTCACCTTTTTGTCAAGTTCCCCCATATAGTCTTCAAAAAGGTCCTCACGGTCTTTAGCTCGTTCAACAGCTATGAAACGTTCATCATCTTCAAATATAGCTCTTACTTTGCTGGATGATTTTGGAAACATTTAATTATGAAAAATACTAACCAGAACACAGCAACATTAACCAGTTCATTTATTTAAAAAAACTCAAGTTAAACGAAATATGGATGACATCATCACATAGGAAAAGACATAGACCTCCATCTTGTGGATGGTGCCAGCTCTTTGGACTCCTGAAAAAACAAGGCAAAAAAAGAGAGTATAAAAATGAGGAAAGTGAGAATAAGAGAGAATTTTTCAAAAGCCCTGAATAACAGAGTTCATTATGGTAAACAACTTACTTCTAACATCTTCTTAAAATCTTCCCGCGCTTTTTTATGTTTAGCACGCCTCTCTTCTGCTTCTTGTTTTTTCTTTTGTCCCAAGAACTGCGACATTAAATTATACTTAATACAGTAATATTCTAAAAGAGGAGAACAACAGACGGCAGTTAACCAATGTCGGCAGAAAAACTACATTATGCTGTAAGAACAGGCTTATAAATCTATCAACATGGACATGTACCTCATTAAAAGCTTGTTTCCGCTCTCCAAGCGATCTAAGAGCACCATACCTTCGGTCATTAATTATTGCTCTCATGGCCTAATCAATTCACTATTGATATCAAAAACTCGCTTGAACGTCAAGAATCATTAAAAGCAATATATAACAAACAATATACCTGATCCCAAGTCCAGTCAGAGCCAACATTTGCACTCTCTAGAAGTGATTTAAATGCATTTTTTGCATCCTTAAACAGAACAGAACAAATATTGTAAATCTTTCAAAGACAATATGATAAAACCGCATTAAATAACTCAGTAAGATACCTGTTTATTCTCATAAACTAAGGATTCCTGATCAACTGTTTTCTCTTCAGATGCAGAAATATTGGTCTTCCCAGCAATCCCCACACCTGTCTTGGTTTCCTTCAAATCATAAACTAGATCAACTTTGTAGTAGAAGATATCAAACTTCGATACTAAAAACACGTTTTTACTATTACAAACCAGTCGAATAATCCAGATATACCTCCATATTCCCGANTGGTTATTAACGGGTGGGGGTTGTGTGTGGTTGTAGTGGCAATTGGTTGTGTAAAAATCGGGAAAATTAAAAAAAAATTGTGAAGTGTAAAATAATAATTAACTATTACGGTAAATTTTTCTAGAATTCGGATGATGAAACAGAACTCACCGTTGAATTAGCCTCACGAAATCTAGTCACTCAGTCAATTTTCGTNAACTTTGTAGTAGAAGATATCAAACTTCGATACTAAAAACACGTTTTTACTATTACAAACCAGTCGAATAATCCAGATATACCTCCATATTCCCGACAACAACTCCATCAACCGCAGTTACAACATCACTAACTGAAACGTTGTCAGAAGGACTCCTACAAGAATTCAGTAAAGTGAAGTGATGCGATTACCAATTGCAACAAAATATATAAAAAATTCAAAACCAGTAAAATTTAACAATACATTAGTGTTAAAACATTGTTGATCGAAGTGACAGAAATTTCAGTGTTTCCTGAAGAAGCAGCAGTTGGTGGTGCAATCTCTAGAGGTGTCTGCGCTCCAATTGCATTTGCAGTCACACTAGAAGGTTCTACTGGGGAAGCCACTGATCCAGATGTCACCATAGGTTGTGGGCTAACAACTGAAACAACTGGTGCCACTGGAATTGGGCTTGAAACGACTCCATGAGATGAAGAAGGTGAGGTATCTACATTGGGGGACAATTTGTTAACCCCAAAGAGGGAAATGGAAGAAGATGGAGCATGAGAATTTACATCCTTAACTTCTAGTGTTCCCTTGAAAGGTTCCATTTTCACTTGTTCCCGAGCTAACTGCATGTACATATAGTCAATGCAGAATAACAGCATAATTAAAGAAAATAAATTCAGTAGATAAGCTTTGACAGCAGAGGAAACCTTAAGTTCATCAGGGATTGTCCACTTTGATTGCCTGGTGACCCTGTTGTAGTAATACCTGCAATAAATAAATCCAAATTTATCAAGGCCTATCCTTAATTGCATATATGAAAGTAATTGTAAATTACTTCCACAAGTGCAGTTAAAAAAAGAGGGAAAACTCGAAAGTGCACTGAAATACAAACTTTCTTCCATCTGGACTTGTAATTTCTCTCCAGTCCGTGGATGCATCTGCCCTCTGTTTGTCAACAAAACAAAACTGAGTAAACTCAAAATAGAATTTAGAGATGTTTCTCTGAGAACAAAAAAATCTTAAAAGAACCAACTTCTAGGTCGTGATAAAAATTTACAATGCGTGTGGATGATATGAAATATAACTACTAGTACCAAGCTAAAAAGCGTGGATACGTATACGGACACAGGAACAACACGAGACAGACATATCAACTAGGAAATGTTCAAAAAAGTAAGACATGGACACGTTAGGGGGATACTCTTGAATATTATATTTTATATATGTCCATATAGCCAATACTAAAATTTTTGATCAGAATCCTCATAATTAAAAAAATCCACAAATAATAAGAGATTAACTATCAAGTTACTAATACAACAATTCCAACACTTCATATCAACTATCAACACATATCTTAATAATAAAGGGTAAATTACATCCAAACACCCCCAGTGTTGTCACTAAATCACATGGATCTGCTCAGATATGATAATTTACACCGACACCCCTTGTTTTCTTATATTTGCAAACAGTAAATGAAACTGGTGAAAACATTAAAATTATCCCAATCTAAAAATGCAACTTTGTTGCCAAACACAACACACCATATATAGTTGCCAAACATCACCCTTTATACATTTAATATCTGTCTCTCCCTCTTTCTCCCTATCTGTGTCTCACTCTCACTCTGCCTTACACTCACCCTCCTCCATCTACCACTGCTCGCCTACGATTATCCCCAGCAATCCAGACCCTCTTCCTCTCACTTTCTCAAACTTTATGTGACACTCCCACCCTCTTCCACCTGTTAACCACCATTTTTTCCGGCAAGCAAAGCCTTTTCTTCTTCCACCCAATGGCATCCATTTTTGTCGGTGCCCACCAATGCCCCTCTCTCTCTTCACTGGCCTTAATTTTGATTTCAGAAAGCACATGCAGGTATCAAAAGTTTTGAAGAACATAAACGTAGTACTCCAAGAAAATGATTTACAAAAGGCATCATCACCGGTAACGGCATTGGCAATAGTCCAGCAACTAACAAAATTTTGGCAAGAGATACACAAAGGGGAAGATTTGATATATGTCACAGACATTAATGTAATCTCTACCAATTTGTATAACAAATTTGGGTTGACAGCACTAGGAATATAATTTTGTAAATATGCCAATAAGGGTTGTGTAGCTTTGAATACAAAGCTTACAAGAATCGATCTGAGGTGAAAAAAAATAAAAGAACAGTTTTATGTGGAAGTAGTAGTGTTTTCTTGCACTCTGGTAACGGCATTGGCGATAGTCCAGCAACTAACAAAATTTTGGCAAGAGATACACAAAGGGGAAGATTTGATATATGTCACAGACAAAAATGTAATCTCTACCAATTTGTATAACAAATTTGGGTTGACAGCACTAGGAATATAATTTTGTAAATATGCCAAGAAGGGTTGTGTAGCTTTGAATACAAAGCTTACAAGAATCGATCTGAGGTGAAAAAAAATAAAAGAACAGTTTTATGTGGAAGTAGTAGTGTTTTCTTGCACTCTGGTAACGGCATTGGCGATAGTCCAGCAACTAACAAAATTTTGGCAAGAGATACACAAAGGGGAAGATTTGATATATGTCACAGACAAAAATGTAATCTCTACCAATTTGTATAACAAATTTGGGTTGACAGCACTAGGAATAGAATTTTGTAAATATGCCAAGAAGGGTTGTGTAGCTTTGAATACAAAGCTTACAAGAATCGATCTGAGGTGAAAAAAAATAAAAGAACAGTTTTATGTGGAAGTAGTAGTGTTTTCTTGCACTTTTTTCCACCTTGTGTTTGGTAGATAGTGCTATAGTGTGCCCGCCATTAAATGTTTGATTTTTGGGTTCATTCATTAGATGCACACATGACACAACAGGCAAATGTTCTTGCTGTGAGTAGAAAGTGCAACACGAGTGGAATGCATAATGTTGGAGACCACCATTCATTCATTAACTTCATTTTGGTACAAATAAGAATTTTATTTTTTAGATAGGAAACAACTTTTATTAATAGACTAAAAAAGTTTTACATAATCCAAGCAAAGGTGGACAAGTCCTCCAACCCAACAGCATACAAAATCAGAAGAAACAACAGTGGCAAAAAACAGTAACAGTGGCAAAGCAACAAAATGAAGCCACTAGACTGGACCACGTCTTCAAAGTTTTCAATGCCGAGTAAAAAAGCAAAATCGAAGGATCATCAATCAAGGATTCAAACAAGAACTTAAATGAATAAGAACCCATTGTGTCAATCACCCATCACTTTTTATCTGAAAAGGTTCAACGTAACTAAGTCTAGCAAAGAAAGTAATGACACAAGTTCTAAAGACTCCCTCCCTATCATTAAGATTTTTACGAAACCCAAAATCCCAAGAATGTGGAAAAGAATCCAACCTCACAAAAGAGGCAATCATGGAATTTAAAAATATTGGGATTTATTTAAATTTTGAAAAATTAAAAGTTTTTAGAACTTGCCCCCACAAGAAATTCTGCAAAAAAATTAAGAGTGGGATTCCTTCGTCAACTAAAATATTAGACTTAAACTTTCCTCATACAGCTTAACTCTTTATTCCGACTGTTGTTCCTTCTATTCACTCTACAATGACACATGAAATCACCAATGCAATACTCTTCAGCTTCTTCCTTCCCTTTTTCCCCCTCAATCAACGACAACAACTCAAGGCTTACGATATGGTATCAGGCATCATTCACCATCTATTCGTGTTTGCCTGTTCTGTGATAGATTAGATTCTTCCAAATTGTTTTAATTAAAATTTATATAATAAAGTAGCTTACAATTCAAATTTCAAAAGATAAACAAAATGACTTTTACTTTTCGCGGTTCAGATCACTTTAAATTTTACTTTAAAATTAATATAACAGCTAATATTAACACCCTAATTTAATAGGAAAAATAAGTCACTAAGGGTGTTTGAAGTGACTTTTTAAAAGAACTTCTACAAATTATTTTTCATAAGTACTTTAAAAAAAATAGTGTTTGAAACCGTCCCACTATTATCTCTACCACCACCACCACCATCGCCGCCACCACTGTCGCAGCCGTAGCCGCAGCCGCAGCCACCGCCACCGCCATCGTCGCCGTAGCCACCTCCACCACCACCGTCGCCGCCGCCGCCACCGCCACCGTTGCCGTCGCAGCTGTCACCACCACTGCCACCCCCAGCCGCCACCACCGCCGCCACCACCGCCATTGCCGCCATCGTCACCACTACCACTACCACCACCACTGCCGCCGCCACCACCACCACCACCACTGCCACCGACACCATCCCCGTCTCCTACCACCAACACCTCTTACCCCCACTACAATCGATGCTTAAATTCATTTATCTCTCCTTTATGTTTGTGATTTGATTTTAGATATAAATACAAATATATTTATTTTTTATTACTCTGTGCCTTCAGATACAGGCAATAATTAGTTATCTTATATAATTCGATTCCTAAATTGAGGATTTGTCTATTATGGACAATATTTGAATTAAATTATCTCGACTACTAACAATTTTCCTACGGTAGATTAAATTGTTCTAAATCCAAATTTGATGTAATAAATTACTGACAAATGAATTTTTTTCTAAATTACTTATGTTGAATTTGTTCTATTTATTTTGAACATTTATGGTCAATATAAGTTGTTTGTAGAAAACTTAATGACAATGTATTGAGTTTGAGTCTAACCTAATAAAATTATTGTTGAATCAGATATAGATAATTTCTTAATGAGAATAAACATTGAAAATAATGGTAGCATATGGCTTTTAGTTATTACTGAATATTGAGTTCCATGTTGTCCCACTACACAACAACCCTAGTGTCAACCCTAAGGGCAATATCTGCAAAGAAACAACCAGGTTCACTGAGTCCACAACACGAGGACCAAATAAAAAGGGAGAGACTTTGTATGAAAGACCTCCTAGAACTGAAGCATTGATACCATGATAAATGAGAAGTTGCTTCAAAATCCTAAGTTGCTCAAGAATAAGCCTAACAATGCTTATCAAACTCTCAAAGAGGATTATATTACAAAATCGTTAGGGATGGAGGAAGGAGGAAGTGACACGTGGAAGCAAAATTTTTTATCAATAAAACAAAAAGAGCAAAAGAATTAGATGTTTAAAAACTAGATTGGCTTCATTACTCAGAAATCTAGTAATAATGCCACCAGGAAAAAAAAATTGTTATAGTAAAATCTAAAGGAAAAGGACTGCGACATGACATCTAAGAGGAAGGATGTGAAAGGGCTGATGGCCCAAAGTCCTACAAAGTAGCTGTTTGCAGCTTTTCTAACAAAATTACTTTCTAAGGTCCATTCCCACAAAGATTTATCCCAGTCAACTAAACTTCAATCATCCTATGTACCTAGAATCCTTCAACCCAGCCTAGTGATAACAATACCAACAACCTACAATCATGGTGCCTAAGGCACATCACACACTAAAAGCAAAACATGAAAAAGTGTACAACCGTATCAATGCTCTCACTGTGAAAGGTTCAAGGTGGAACCAATTTGAGATATTTGAAACCATTTTTGTGCATCAAATCCTATCCAAAACACTTACTTTTACAAGTTCTTCCCTCAACTCTTATTGAACTAAAAGTCGAATATCACTAGCCATACATCATTAGCAATGAGAAGGGGCTACATGTAATGCTTTACGAGGTGAGTAGAATATGTTTTCATAGTGTGTAAAATTAGATGAATAAAGTAGAAAAATATTTTCTAGAATATATTGTTGCACTGATTTGAATTTAGTAAACCTTTTCTTCTTAAAAATGAATTATATTTATAGGCGGCCGAAAACTGGCACACAATGACGCACAAACAAGATAAGCCACCAAGAAATACATAAGAATGCCCCACAAGGATCCAAAAGGCAAACATCCCGAAAAGTCAACAAACGAAGCCATTTCTGTTGGGTACATTTTACTAAACCAGAGAAATATAATGCTCGATATCAGCTCCTTCAATTTATGGGTAGAAAGTTCAACCCCCTCAAATGTTTTCTATACTTCTCATTCCACAGTCCATAGTACGCATGTTGGAGCTATCGGCCAAAACTTCCTCCTGCGCCACCTCAATCTACATCATCTGTAAGCGCTCATCAAAACCTCCACTAAACCTGGCTAAACCCAAGTATAATGAACCAAATAATGGACATGACCCCACCCCAGCCACCTTACAGTGCAACAGAAATAGCCTACCTAACTGACTCATTCTCCCCTTTGCACATACAACAGCTAACCCCTCCTTTGCAAGATATCGACAGCCAAAATGGCCTACAGCACTGCTGTCCCAAGTCCCAAACAGGAATGCCACCTTTGGAGGAGCACAAATCCAAATATTCCTTCAAAGGAACCCGATTTTGATTTTCCCCTCACCTCCAAATAATATAATCGGAACAAGAAAGTTTCCTTACTTCAACATGTAACCACTCCAATAGGTCCACCTCATTCCGTTCACCCTAATCTCGTATTGGAGCCCCCGAAATAGTTTTTCCTGGGCAATTCATCATATACCACTAATAGATCGTAAGCCATATTTTTCTAAGTTTAAAAATTCTAAAATAGAATACAATATGATAGTTCATGGTTTAACTGAAAATATGGCCCTTGATATAATCACAATGGTGGGACATGATTCATGTAACCAAACAAAATAGTTGGGAAAATGCTTTATAGAATTGTGTTGAGTAGATAACATAATGTTTTAAATATTGAATTTTATTAATGTTTGTAAATACGAAAACCAGACCTTCATTGAGTATATTCCAAGGAACTAATTGCTACACAAGAATCAGTATTTCGACAATTAAAAT